TGGCCAACACAGCCAAATTTCATCTCTACTAAAAATACAAAAATTAGCTGGAGTGGTGGTGTGCACCTGTAATTCCAGCTACTCGGGAGGCTGAGGTGAAAGAATCACTTGAACCTAGGGGGAGGAGGTTGCAGTGAGCTGAGATTGTGCCACTGCACTCCAGCCTGGGTGACAGAGCAAGACTCAGTCTCAAAAAAAAAGATTTTGGTTTTAAGGAAATTTGAAGAGAGTGAAATGGAAAGGCGTAGGAAGAGTTCAAAATAAGGGAGCATCATAAAAAAATATCCGATTTTAGGGTCTTGTATTTTGGCCAGAAGCAAAGGATAATGTGTCAGGTACTCTGAGATGGACCGACCCCAGACTCCCGAGTTGGTGGGGGAGGGATCTTTCACGGAAAGCAGCCCTCGGTGCCAAATACTGCTAGAGAATTACGGTGAGTTTATTGGAGAGAACTTTCCTGAGGGTGTTTCTGGGAGGTTGAGGGAGTTGGGTATTGCAGGAGTGGGCAGGATCCCTGGGTGTTCCATGTGGTGAGCTCATAAGGGTTTGAGCTGATGAAAGGTTTTCAGTGGCTTGGGGAAATTGACCTTGGGTAGAGTCTTCTCCACATCATAGTCTGCCGGTTCATTTACATGTTGATTGGTCTTGGGGACTGACTGCTAAGCTTGTGGAAAGGCCCACACGGTGGCAGTATTTTGTTTTTGTTAGCATATTCCGTAGTCTTATTTTATAGGCTCTGCAGTTTATTGTTTGTAGACCCAGAAGTAATAGGGCTCCGCAGGATCAATACACATTGAACAAATTCTTAAGGGACAGATGTATAAAGAAAGTCAGGGCTGTGTGCGGTGGCTCATGCCTGTAATTCCAGCACTTTGGGAGGCCGAGGTGGGCAGATCACCTAGGTCGGGAGTTCGAGACCAGCCTGACCAACATGGAGAAACCGCATCTCTACTAAAAATACAAAATTAGCCAGGTGAGGTGACGCATGCCTGTAATCCCAGCTACTTGGGAGGCTGAGACAGGAGAATCGCTTGAACCTGGGAGGTGGAGGTTGCGGTGGGCTGAGATCGCGCCATTGCACTCCAGCCTGTGCAACAAGAGCAAGATTCTGTCTCAGAAAAAACAAAGTCAGAATGCTGTTTTCAGAGAAAACTATCATTCAGACCAGACACTTATATCATCAGGAAATTATCTTTTTTCCTTTTGAGACAGAGTTTCTCTCTGTCACCCAGGCTGGAGTGCAGTGGCATGATCTTGGCTCACTGCAACCTCCACCTCCCAGTTTCAAGCGATTCTTGTGCCTCAGCCTCTGTGTAACTGGCATTACAGGCACACACCATCATGCCTGACTAGTTTTTTGTATTTTTAGTAGAGACGGGTTTCATCATGTTGGGCCAGGTTGGTCTTGAACTCCTGATCTCAGGTGATCCACTTGTTATTTCAGTTATTCCAGTTTGTGGGCCTCAACTCTCCCTTTGTTTGGTATCCTGGACTGACCCACCTTTTTTCTTAGATACCTTTTTTTTTCTTTTTTTGAGAGCAAGTCTTGCTCTGCCACCCAGGCTGCGATTATAGGTGCTCACCACTGGTCCCAGCTAATTTTTTGTGTTTTTAGTAGAGACGGGGTTTCACCATGTTGGCCAGGCTGGTCTTGAACTTGTGACCTCAGGTAATTCCCCTGCCTCAGCCTCCCAAAGTGCCAGGATTATAGGCGTGAGCCACCGCACCCAGCAAGATATGTTATTTATTTATTTATTTATTTATTTATTTTTGAGAAGGAGTTTCACTCTTGCTGCCCAGGCTAGAGTGTGATGCCACGATCTGGGCTCGCTGCAACCACTGCCTCCCAGGTTGAAGTGATTCTCTTGCCTCAGCCGCCAAAGTAGCTGGGATTACAGGTGTGCACCACCGAGCCCAGCTAATTTTTGTGTTATTAGTAGAGATAGGAGTTTCACCATGTTGGCCAGGCTGCTCTTGAACTCCTGACCTCAGGTGATTCACCCACCCCAGCCCCGCCAAAGTGCTGGGATTACAGGCATGAGCCACTGTGCCTGACTAATTTCTGTGTTTGGAAGCTCCTCTCCAGGGTTTGACTCCAGTCCATCAAGGCTCACCCTTCTCTCCTGAGCAATTTGAGCTCCGCCCAGTTGGCAGGTCAGCTCCACCCATTGGCAGGTCAGCAGCCCCTCCTTCATTCTTTCTGGGACCGTGGCTTTCCACTTCCCTCATTCCTTTGTTCCCTGTAACGTTTCTTTTCAGGAGCCCAAATGCATTGCTTTGTGTTATTTATGCCAGAATATGTAAGCCCTGATTTCTCAACTAAATTGTGACTTATTTCAGACCAGCCCACATCTTACGAGGAGTAGATCCCAGTAGTGGTCACCATGTGTGTGGATGGGGGTTCTCAAACATTGGGGTGCATATGAAGAATTTGGAGGGGCTGTTTAAAATCAGGTATTGGGCCAGGCAGGGTGCCTCACACCTGTAATCCCAGCACTTTGGGAGGCCAAGGCGGGCAGATTGCGAGGTTAGGAGTTCAAGACCAGCCTGGCCAACATAGTGAAACCTCGTCTCTATTAAAAATACAAACAAAATTAGCCAGGCGTGGTGGCAGGCACCTGTAGTCGCAGCTGCTCCGGAGGCTGAGGCAGGGCGCTTGAACTGGGAGGCTGAGGTTGTGGTGAGCCGAGATCCAGCCATTGCGCTCCAGTCTGGGCAACAAGAGCGAAACTCTGTCTCAAAAAAAAAAAAAAAAAAGCAGGTATTGGTTGCTGACCTCCTAGGTTCTAATTCTGTGTTGTCTGGTAGGGTCAGGAAGCTGTAAAAATAACCAGTACCCCTCTCCCAGCCCCCTTCTTGTGGATTCCAGTGCAGGTGGCCTGACCTGGACCACACTTTGAGGAAGAACCTGCTTCACCTTGACCTTTACAAAGTACTGTACCTACATTGTCACATTCGAAGCTCATGTTGTGAGGCTAGTTTAAGGAAGATAGTAATTCTTTTTTTTTTTTTTTTTGACAAAGTCTTGCTGTGTTGACCAGGCTGGAGTGCAGTGGTACGATCTTGGCTCACTGCAACCTCTGCCTCCCGGGTTCAAGTGATTCTCCTGCCTCAGCCTCCTGAGTAGCTGGAATTACAGGCACCTGCCACCATGCCTGGCTAATTTTTTTTATTTTTAGTAGAGATGGGGTTTCACCATGTTTGTCAGGCTGGTCTTGAATTCCTGACCTCGTGATCTGCCTGCCTTGGCCTCCCAAAGTGCTGGGATTACAGGCATGAGCCACTTTGCCAGGCACCCCCTGCCCCACCACCACCTTTTTATTTTTTTTTGAGGCAGAGTCTGGCTCTGTCACCAGGCTGGAGCGTAATGACAGGATCTCAGCTCACTGCAACCTCTGCTTCCCGAGTTCAAGCCATTCTCCTGCCTTACCCTCCTGAGTAGCTGGGACTACAGGTGCAGGCCACCACGCCCAGCTAATTTTTGTATTTTAGTGGAGATGGGGTTTTACCTTATTGCCCAAGCTGGTCTCCAACTCCTCAGCTCAGGCAACACACCAAGTCAGCCTCCCAAAGTGCTAG